ATGTACAAGGAAAACCAAACATAGCAAACACCAATTTTTTTTTTTATTTTTTTTTTCCCCAGTGGAAACTCTTATGGGAGCTCTACCTGAGCTGCTGTATGGATTGGCTTCAAAATGGAGAGAAGATACTTCTGCTGATCAGCGGTCCCAGCCTGATGCTGTCCCTCCCACGCACACTGGCCTTTTCATCTGCACAACCTGCCGCCTTTCCCAGAACACCTGCAGAAATATTCACTTCGCATATATGCAGGCAACAATTAGTATTTTCCCTGCTGGAAACACCAGCTGCCTTTGCCTTTGTTGCATTCAGTGATAAATATTTGCAAATACTGGAAGCTTCAATAAGCCAAACATCATATGTACTGCAAGAATTTATAGCAAAGAATTAGTCATTAGGACTTTTAAGAAATTTGGAATAATTAATTTGAAATATGGTACAAAAAGAGATGAACACAATATACTGCTAAGAACCAAGATGGGCTCTTTTGCAGGATGAAGTAATACCATTTAGAATAAGAAGAACAAGGCTGCTAGAGGGAGAGAAACTTGTTTACAAACATCCGAAAGGTTGGATGAATGTGCATGGAGCTGTGATTTTGCTGTAGCACTCCGGTTAGGAAAAGACTAACCGCATCCAGGGGCACCCTGCCGCCTCTGGGCTTCAGCTAAACTGCTTAGAAAGGGAGCAAGAGGAGTAATTTTAGCTCCTGCTAGAGTTATTATTATTGGTAACTGGCTGCATTCAGCACGGAGCTTTTAAATGTTACTTCCTGTTGTTGTGAGGTCCCTTGCTGGGCTGTTTCAGATGCACGGCTATATCGATCCGCCCGTACCGACCCCCTCCCGCAGCTCCGCCAGACAAAAGGGTTCATTTCACACCCAGCTGGATTCACTCTGGGGAGTACATTCCTAAAGGGGCTCCCTTGGGTCAGCCACGCATCACTCAAATGGTATTTCTGGGAAAATAAAATAATACACAGTATGTTTAGTGATTAAACCTGGGAAATAGCTATAATCTATCTTGGGCTTTTATTTTAAAATGGGAGATTAAATAGCATTGGAAAACCTATTGGAAAATCCTACAGCAGTATTTAAAAAGACAATAGCTCCCACCCTTACCCAGCAAGGGCAAACTGGAGGTCAGATGGGAGAAATATGGATAGGTTCTTTGTCCATGTAAGTAACATTGAGCAGGACACTTTGAATGATCAAGTAACCAAAGTGATTTAATTTGCTTTCCTAGGAAAGAAACTAGCCCAGAGCTTGCCAGCCTGTACCCAGGAGGAGCCTGACTAGCAAGGTTCAGGTAGAGTGAGGTGCTGCAGCCCCCAGTGTGTTAATGCCTCTTATCTTCAGCCAGGCTTGACACACACTGCTGGAAATCTTAACAAATTCACAGTCCCAGGGAGAGTTCTCCTGTTCAGGTGCATCATTTCTGTTCTGACACCTGCTGCCTCACCCACAAGGCACATGCTCAGTATTGAATCCACTTCTCTGTGCCCATGCTGGGGCTGAAAACCCTCCAGCTCTCAGAAATGCCTGTGCCCCATAGGAAAAGGCTTCAGGTACATCCTGGAAGCCCTGCACAGCCTGGCTGCATCACCATCACCTCTGCTCCAGGGAAGGTGACTTGAAAATACATGGGCTGGTGGCAAGCCAACACCGTATTTGCAATAAAAATGTGTTTGTGATAAATACGTACTCTGGCAAATGAAAGATAATGGTGCTTTCTGACAATATTTTTGCATTTTTTTGTTTTAGACTCCAAGCCCCTGAGTTAATTGAGCAAAGCTGTAAGTGACCAGGGTGGACCTTTGCAGTGTCCATGCTGGCCCCTGCGCACCCACCTCCCAACTCATGGCATACGGCCAAGCAAAATGAAAACGCTTCCTGCACACATCAACAGAAAAATCAAAGCAGAAAAGACGTTATCAGCACTGGCACAGATGAGAGATTATCACATTTCTGTGGATATAACCTAAAGATAAAAGGCAAAAATTCAAACCAAGCTGATAGTTTATGTTGCTGTAGGAGAACTGATACTGAATAAATTCATCTTTGGCAATGACACATGAAGCGAGGCATGACCTCCAGACTATCCGAGTGCTTATAACAATACAAGGACACTGATGAATTTGAAGCAGACGTCACTTTGACATATGAGAAAATCCAATGGATTCTGATTACAATATCCCATGGAGCCATAATTAAGGCCTTTATGGCAACAAAGAAAATTGGATTACATTATTTCAGTGCTAAACAGGCAGAAGATTGCAGGAAAGCCAAGAGTATAGAGTATAACAAGCCATAGATGCTTCTGACAGAAAACAAAGATGGGCAATGCAAGATATTTTTAAGCAGTCTTGTGCTTTTCAAAATTACATAGAACAAACTTACATGTGGCAGTAGAGGAAATCATACCTTCATTTTCTTTTGGTCTCTTTGTACTCCATTTTTTCAAGTAATAAGCTTCATGTAAATCAGAGGAACTCTAAATGCAATCCACACATATTCCTTCCCTTCAGTGTCTTCACAGTAAGAACCGAGTTTCCTATCACTGCTTTATTTAAATGATCCATATCACAATGCAAGTGAGGAATGCTGAAAATCCCCAGTATGCACTGCAATCACCTAAACTCTCCATTGTTTAAAACACCAAACTAACTCTGTAAGAACCAGAATCACCTGAAATAAAATTGCAAGTGTAAATCAGGCATGGGGCAGCTCTATCAAACTCTGCATTAGTTTAAAGCCCTTTCCATTACCCTAATAATAAACAGTTTGTGTGACAGGGAGGAGCATTCAAGAACCTGCCTACATCTCCTCTTCACTGCCTTTCTCCATCAAGCACAGCAGTATCTGCTCCCTCCTCTCCATCGTTTCAAAGAAGGTGGTTCATGGTCAGCAGTTCTCGTTTTTCATTTGCAGTGGTCCAAATGAGCAGTGATTAGCCTCTCGGCAAAATGTCCTTGTCTATGTATGTCCTTGCTCTGAATGCAAATCCAAAACTCAGAGAAAAGCTCAGCCCAAACTGCTGATTTTCTTTGGTTCTTTGTCAAAGTCTTGTCAAATTTCACCAACATTTAGTCAAAAATTCCTCCCAACCCTTGTCAGAATGTTGGCTGATTTTAGCACAGGACACTAAATTACAAAACATCTCTAAGTAGGCAAACTGTAAAACTGTATCAAGACACCCTTTTTTACAACAAAACAACAGAGTAAAAGTTGTTTTCAGTAACATGGTGCCACCATAGTTCCAACTGGCTTTAAAACCCCCACATTTTATTTTTTTACCATGGCCCCTTGGCCCAAGTGATGCCTTACCATGTGGTCCCACCACTTTGAGGACATTGCAACGTGTCCTCACCCCAGTTCAGCTACAAATCTCAGATACCTAAAGTATTATCAAGCCAGAGAATAAAAATCATCTTTCTCTTACTCATCTTACTCAGTTATACAGTAGATTTCCCGTGCACTTCATAAAACATGAATGTCATTTGTTTTAATAAAAGGGAACCCACCAGGGAATTGGCTTCATCTTGGGTCTCAATTCATTGTCTGTGGGTTGTGTTTTGCTAGGTTTCTCAGCTGATGGTACATCAGTCAGATCCCATCAGATCACAAAGGTGTCTGTGTTCTGTAATATTGTTTTTTCTAGTATTCTCCATCCTCTCGTACCCTTTCATAAAAAATATAAATGTGTCAAAGACTTTCCAGATTTATATTGATTTGAAATGGATGATAAACATTACATCTTCTTCACTTCTCACTGAGCAAAAAGAGCTGTGAAAAATTTCATTCCTACTTTGTTTTTTTCTCAGCAGAATTATCAAATATCCAGGTTGGAAATAATACGTGACATACCTTATGAAATTGCATGAATTTTATCAGATTATTTCAGTGGATGGCCCCACCACCATTTCAAGACAGACTTTATGTTCCTGTGTTCATCTTTTGTTTGTTTTTCTAAAAGGAACTCAGACAAAAAGAGAGGTTGTAGCCATATGGGGCAGGGGGAGAAAGTGTGCAAAACCTGTCTGAGACCTTCAAGGTGCTGTCTCCTATACTTCTAGGGACCCACCAGCATCTACTAGCACCGCCCCAGAGCTTCACCTCCCAGGTCTCAGCAAAAATCAATCGAAAGTGTGTTCTTCCCAGTTGTTTCCTTCTGTGGAGCATAAATTCAGAGGTTAATTTAAAAATAGCAGAATAGTGTTTTGGGAGGAATGAAAACATGTATGAATTCTGGCTGAATTTAGCAAATTCAGAAATAGCAGAATGTTTCCTCCTGATGCTTCATTTCAAAATGCCAAAATTGATTCACTTAAAAAGAGGTTAAACAGCAAGATTAACCCCAAAATACCCCTTCAGATTTCATCTAGATAAGAAAAAAAATATTTCACTTGAATCTACTTCCTCTTCATTTGACTACCATTTTTATTTTTATATAAAATCCATTATCTCTTCAGCTTTACTTTGCTTTCAGTATGGGCAAACTTGAGTTACCTGGAAATCTTATTTCTTTAAACATCCACAAGCCATGAATTTTAATGGTAGAACAAAAATTTGGAGAGGTATAAACTCTCAACAAAACCACCAATGGCAGAAAAAACATAACATAGCCAGAAGTGCTGATTTGGAAGTCAAATAGCTTTGAGAAAATTGCACATGGCATTATATCAGAAGTGATGTCAGGATATTTAATGTGTACCTCAAGCTATACTGGAGTCAATTAAAAAAACCCTGCAATCTACTCAGGGTTTATAGGATTGCTAAAATAGCGCTAGAACTGAATTTAATGGATACATACACTGTATATGTTAAAGTATGTTGAACAAAAAGGTCCTGTGTGTTGATGAGCCATGAAAGTATCTTATTTACGTTCTGTAAAATGAAGTAATGGGTATTTTTCTCTTTTCCTCTTTCATTATGTAGCCCATTCAGCCCCTGCAGGACCATCCCACTGAGAAGCAGGGACACAGTATCAGCTGACGAGGCAGGTTCTCTGCACAGGCAGGTTGGTGTTTGGGACCAGGAGCAGTGACATAAATGCAGCAGTATTGATACCCTCTCAGGGCATGGGGCTGTTGCCTAGTTGAAAGCACCAGACCCTGAGGCTGGCAGTAGACCTGCAGCCTCTAAGAGACCTCCAGCACCTAAGAGAAAAGCTCTTCCAGGGACCTAACACCACCAGAGATTTCTCCAACACCACCTTTCTCCTCCATTAGATATTTAACCAGGCCTTTAGTCCCTGACTCAGCCCATTTTGGTTGCTGGTAAATGCATTTCTCAGTGGTCACCATCATTAATCACATCCCTTCACCACAGCCCCCTCCACACTGGCCACGTGGTGCACGGGGAAGAGAAGACCTGGCAAAAGAATCCCAAATTTCTTCTACCAGTCCGTGTTCTAATTTTCCATGTGAATTTTCCATCCCTGTTTTCAGATCCCATCCCATTTACCCTTCACCCTGTACCCCCACTCAATCTTCTGAACCCTGCTGCACACACAAATGCACACCCCCAGAATCAGAAGCTTCCTGCGGGTCAGCCCTCCCAAACCCCTGATAAGGCTTTCCCAAGGAGAAGGAAGGTAATTGCCACTACTTTATGATTCAATTAATTACCTTGTGTTATGAGGATTATTATATTTGATTCACACAAAAGTGACTCAGATTGCACACAGAATTATTAACTGATAAAAAGTGACTGTATCTTTGTAATTAATTATTTTTTGGGGGGAAAGGATGTGACTCTTGACCTATATTCTCCTCTTGGGAGGAACTGCAACAAGATAAATTTAAATGATAGTCATTCTGGGCAGGAAAATTGAGACTGTCCCATTCTTGGGACATGGACCCAAACTTGAAGGTCTCCGAAATCTTGACCAATAGGAGCGATTCAAAGCAAAGAGCAGCCATTCCTACATTTCCATTAAGCTGTCTGTGCAGGGGTGTTGAGGGGATTGCGGGGAGGCAGATGCTCAGAAAGGGGGGTGATCATGCTCCTTTTACAAATTATTTTTCTTTGTATCTCAGAACCACTTTCAGGAATCCTTCCAGGTACAGCTGGAACCCTTTCAAGCCAGTGGAAGATCAGTTTGACTTTCGTTGCTTCGATTAATCAGCGTGGTTACTCCCCATTCCAGGCTGCTACTTCTAACCTCCACCTTTACACACTGTATCAGAGAGCTCTGCTTCACCAGAGTGCTTGCATACACACGTGCAGGGGGCCAGCAACCCTCCCTGTCCTGACGGTGGGAGACAGCAGACTACAGCAGTTGGCTCTCCTGTATGTACTTTCCTCTCCTCTTCTCTCCTCTCCCTCTCCTTTTCTGTTCTGTTCTGTATTTCCACAATTATGTTCTTAGTCCCAGGCAGATACGAGAGGTACCTGCTCAAACCAATCCACTCAGGGATTGCACAAAGGCTTCAGCTATGGTTTTGCAAAGAGGCACCTCTGAACGCCAGTGAGCCAAGAGAATCAAATGCCTGGCACAGCTCAGCTGTGGATCTTGTGAAGAAAGGAGGGCTTTGGTATTTCATAGCTAAATAGGAAGGAGGGAAGTTTTCCCCGGCAGGGGTTGCATATGGATCATGCTACCATTGGCCCACAGCTGCAAGGATGTCTGGCAGCTCTGCAGGGCTGGGGCATAGCATCCTTATGGGTGTCCCCGCCTGCAGCAGAGTCTGCAAGGATGGTGGGCAGCCTGGCACCTCCAGAGATAACCCCAGGGTACCCAAAAATGATTCTGTGGAGCAGCAGTTGTGCCAGGCACAAGGTACACGTGTGGCCAGCTACAATGTGACAAGCGAGGGTGACGCTGTCCAATCCATTCCCCTAAACAAAGAACACGAGGGAGTAAAAAGGGTGATACCATGGTGCCAATTATATGCCAAGAAGACAGAAGATGATGTAAAATCAAGATTTTAAAGCTTTTTCATAACATAGGTTACATCTTCAGAAAGCCTATTTTATATTCTATCTTCCATCCCTTTAGCAGGTGAATATGCAATCACTTCCATGGAATATCAATATTAGGAGAGCACTGATGCATTTTATCAACTTGAAAAAGTTTGGCCCACGTGAGATAAAAGGCCTTGGATTTGATTTAAAGAGGAAGCTAATGGCATTCACAACAGAATGAGTTACCCTGCTGTATTTGAACCGAACAGCTACTCTAAGACCTCACATTTATATTTTCTTTCCAAATCCTACTATATAGCATGCAGCAATTTCCGGACCACGCCACAGCAAGAAATATGGGGCAGCAATTGCACTCCCTTCATCTGCCAACTGACAAAAGCATTGCTCCACAAGAGTACACTGAGAAATATGTGCAGATCATAGGCTTTTTGCAGTTACATGGGTTTAATTTGATGCACTGTTGTGCAATCATGGTACTGGCATAAAAAGACATCTGTATCATTCAGGTGTACCTCACTGGGAAGTAAACTACATCATTTTCTCTTCCCTGCCAGTGCACTGGCTTTGCCCAAGCATCACTTTCCTCACAGAGGACACCTACCTGCCTGCAGGCTAAAAAGGGAAAATGAGGAAAGAAAACCTGAGCAGATATTACCTAGCGTGACAGTGGCATGTTGTACCTACATCCTGGAGAGCTGATGTGGAGACTGGCCATCAGGCCTGCGCAATGCAGCCATGGTACACAACAGCAGCATCTAAATTAGTTTGTATAAAAAACATGAAATCAGAAAGCAACTTAAACACTACTGTAAATATAATATTGGCAGGCTTACTAAAACCCTCAGTTAATCCCCATTTCCAAAGCCTTAGGCAGGACACCAGGCCGGAGGGCTGTGAAATTTTCCCTGGGGTACACCTGCAAAGCCACGCCAGCAAGGCAGGCTGTCTGCAGGACTTAAGGCTCAGAACAAATTGAAAATCACTGATGGAATATTGTGCAGTTTGTCCATATTAGGAGCAGTCAAAAATCATACATAATGTAACAATGTACATGCAACAGCAGCTCACGCAAGATAATTTAACCATGAGGAAATAGTCTTTGAAGTGGTCCCTGATGAGATTTTGCTTGTTCCTAAGAGAATCCAGATGTATTCCAGAACAGCATTTTAAAACCACTTTCTAAAATTACACCCCCTCCCAGTCATTACGATGCATTATGGTGACACACTGCAGTTGGGATTTTATGAGGAAAATTACTTCCGAGTTGTATTTTTCTGTTAAATGCTCCCCCTCCAGTACCTGCACCCACACTCTGACGACCCCAGGCATTTCATTACCCAACGTACACGTTCCTCAGGCTCTGCATTTCACAGAAGATACATCGTGGGCCAAATTCTGCCTTCTGTTAACCATGGGAAGCTCATTAAAGGGTACCGATCTTGACTTCATGGGCATTATGCTATTGTAACTGACAGCTGAAGCTGGCCCAAACAGTCATGGTTTCACCGCAAAAATGTCAGCTTGTGGTTTTGACAAACCAAAGGGAATCAGGCACCCTTTCTCTCTCAACCCCTCCATGAGAAGGGAAATTAACTGCACTGTTAAAAGGGCTCTCTGATTTTGCTGGGGATCTTCCTGAGCAGCCACAGAGCAGACATCCCAGGAGGTTTGCAAGACAGGAATATGTAATTGTAAGTTTTGTTCTTTACATTGCTTTGTCTCAAAAGCAATAGAAGCAATGTGCTGGATGCACCAGCTGACTCAGTCTCTGTAAGGCAAGGATGCCACATCTAACAGAGTTACCCACACAGCCCCAGAGCCCACATTACTCTGGTCAGGCTATGATTGGGTTCCTTATTGGTATTTTAAGCAAGACACAGATTCCTCATACATCTAATTAAGACCTGTAACCTTACCCTACCATAAGCCTTGCTGTCATCCCTGCTCTGCGTTCCCTCTCCCCACCAAAGCAGTTGTGGTGAACTCTTCCCATGGGATCTACAAGAGAGGGGATGTTCCAGGCATCCACATTTCCCATCAGGATAGGGGTCACAAGACCTCTTTCTCTTTTCTTTCCTTTCCTTTTTTTTTTTTTTTTTAAGGTTTGACCTTCAGAAGGAAATTCATGGGCGACCCTAACAATAACCGACTTCCCCCATCTGTGTTAAGTGCTGGGGAAAGCTATCAGGCAAAGAAAATTGGTTCCCTTTTAGAGACAGAAACAGACCTGGAGAGGGATTTTATTTCCCTGTAAGGCTATTATATTCAATGTTAACATTATTTAAAGGGTTTTGAATGGAGCTGCACTCCACAACATCTCATTATGGAGTAAAATCATCTTAATCATTATGCTCTGCCAATACCCACTGCTTTATGGGGTGCTTTCATTATCATTAGAGATGCTCTCTGTCTGGGAGTGACATGCATCTATCACAGCAGCCTTGCAAGGATGGGAAAGAAAAGGAGGCCGTCACTGTGCAATGATTGTTAGCCTTTCTGTCTGCAAAATCCCAAAAGTTGTAACAATTCAGTTCAAACACGTGGGATTTTGCATTTTCCTGCAGTGCTTTTTAGCACTAGAAGCCTTCAGAGCATTTCATACATTAAATATAGTTTCTATGCTTAATCTATTTGTACTGGCTGTTTCCTTTTCATACGGAATTCATCAGGAGTTTAAAATAATCTGAAATGTGGTCATTTATTTCCACACTGCATTACTAAGTATATGAACAGCACTTATCACCCAGTAACACACCTGCAGTGCCAGCACCTTTGCATTTGTGGAACTAAACACATTTATACAAGTGAATAAGTAACATGGACTTGTCTAGCTTTTCCTAGGCTTAGCCAGGAAAGCTGTTCCAGTTCCTTACCTAGTCCCCCCCTCACCCCCCAGACAGGTTTTCCAAGAAAATTAAATAACTTCAGGTTTTACAAAAATATTTTCTGGAAAGGTATGTGTTTTCAGTGAAGACTCCAAATCTTCTGACCAAACAATGCAAATAATTAAAATGCAAGAGACTGGGAAAAGATGCTTTGACAAAATGCAATATTCTTTATTAGATGTGGTGTTTGACCAAAAGCACCCGC